ATTAGGTTTCACAAAACTATTTCTGGAAGAACTTTGTCGCACTGCATTGATATGTGCATTATATGAACCATATCGTAGAACTATTCAGTATAAGTTATACTTTATAACATACAATGTAATTTACTCTTCTTTCAATTAACAATTGATATATTGTTACAATGGTAATTCACACGGTGACAAAACAATTTCATATACCGAGGTAGACTGACATTTTCAGATCAGTCATTGGCGTATACAATTAGTGTTTTATTTGGCTTTTAGATTAATTAATAATTAAACCTATATGGAATTACACGTTGGAAAGGGTGACACAAAAATACCACCCAAATAATGTTACATAACTTCTTTGTCTGGATGATGCCTCACTTGTTCTTTAGCAGATGCATGCATACTAGACTCCTGGAGCAACACCACTAGAAGTTTCAGATGACTAGCACTTTTATGCGAGATACAAGATATGCTTGTAGACACACCTATATTTTACGGGTAAAGTCAACGATAGAGAAAAAAGTTATGAGACATTATGTGGCATATTTTAGTCATCCTCTTCCATGTAACACCGTAAGGTTGTAATTAGAACCATGGAAACACGAGTGTACTAAAAGTAGATCCGGTAATTGGGTATATACTTTAAGTCTTGATTGCATTATCATGTGTGTTATATAGGTGTTGAAGAGTCAGACCGCTCCGTTGATCAGATGGTAATGTATTCCAATGTGCTAGGTTCGATTCCCATTGAGGCGGAGTGACCTTTTCACATCAACCCCTGAAAATAGCATTTGATCCCCTGTTTGAAAATAAAATGCATAATAAAAATAACGTAGATATCAGTCATGGTGAATGAGGAAATGTAGTTGAATACAAAAGTGTTAATAACATGGTGGTATAATAAGAATATTCCGATGTGTGTTTCATATACACACTCCAAAAAAGTACAGATCAATTCAAATATTCGTTTCGATACGCCCCATTTGTTATCTTATTCACTATCCCCATGCCACACACACTCTGCTCTGCTATGCCATGTATTTAATGCCATGTATTTACCTGTTTCAAAATGGTGAAGATCAAGAATAATTGTTACAAATCCATGGCATGTAAGCACGCAATACAAACTCATTACAAACGTTTTAATCTAATATACACACCATTGGTTTAAATTGGGAGAAGCTAGGTGAGCGTATGTCATCGCTCCTTATGCTTGGGTTCATCAAAACGAAACCATATATGTTAGAAACCCGATTTTACATTTCCTAACATTCGTATTTGCTATTCCAAATTCCGGAGGGTCATCATATATTTTCCTTGTTTAATCAGAAATCAGGAAATGTTATGTAAATTAAAGTTACAATTGTGAAGGCACAAAGGGGAACATCTGAAATCAATACCACAAAAATGTAGCATTAGTGTACTTCAGCTATAAGAACTTACACCAGATCTCATCTGAACGCCATTTGTTCATTTTATCATAGAAAAAACACCTCAAAGGGTTATTGATGTCTAATAACAGAACAATAGATATGTACAATAAAAGCAAATATACATTTAAGCATTTAATGATCAAGTATGTAGTAAGTACCATGCATCCTTTAATATGGGACATGGTATAACGATGGTGTTCATAATGAGGTGTGTTTTAAGAGGCCTTTGTGGTTTTAGACCGTGCTTGGGGTCATCCAGGCAACTCTATGGAATTGTTGTCCCTTTGGGACAGTGATTGTCTAGAAATAATATAGCTATAGCGTCATTCACATGTGCAATCATTGCAGTATACGGTGTACTGTAACATGTATGAAACTGAATGTTTGAATTTGGAAGCAAATGTTTGAGTTAAATTCAAAAATATTGTGACAGACAATTTGATAGTGTGAACATGTGTCATTCATTATAATAGGCCAAGAATGGCTTACAGAAGTTAATAACTTTTCTTATAATCAAAATTCAATGATCGGTGAAACAGTGGACCTGATGATGTATATAATACTACATAAACTCCAAATGCAGCCTGTGAAAATGAGCGTTGACCAGAACTGATATTTATGACGCATAAGTCAGAGTTTTTCGGAATATGATATTGCTACACTTTTCGTCGCATATTATTTGTTATTAAGAGAAAAAATAATATCATCAAGAAAATGGCAATTCCTACATTTACAGTTAACTGTGTTAGCAGCAGTTGAGTTAGTGTTTTGTTGGATACAGTTTGTTACGATAAATTGAATGAATTATATGATTATAATCCAAGCTCACTAGATCTGTTTGAAATAGTATCGTTATTCTTCACACCTACAAATAGTGTCAGAATGCATCTGACGTTACAAATTTAGTTCCATCATATATTACAAAGTATTTATATAAAACGCCTTTCGATGTCATGATCATGTGTTTCAATTATCAGTTTTTAAGATGCTTTAGCCTTTTTTGCTCTCAATACAGCGAAGGACAATGAAGATTATGCATCAAACCACGGGCTTTCAATTAGAAGGGTATGCAACTCTGTGTAATAAACATGAAACCTTCAAAATGAGCAATGCCATGTTTCCCTTGTTATGGTAATATTTCAAAAAGTATGAGATAAATGTATTTATGTTTCAGTATTATTTTGAATAAAAGTCAATTTTCAATATGATTAAAGCATTAAATATATTCAATCTCATGTAAAAGCAAACAAAAAAGACCAATACGAATTAGAGGTATCAATATGCACGCTTCGAGTATTGCATTGTGGGTAATTATTCAAGAACACATTCCAATAAAAACATAATTTGTGGGAGAATGTTCACTTTCTTTTTTGCCATTATTATGGTGAATTCCATTTTTTATTAAATTATCAACATGTATGTAGATAATGTTTTTATTTCTGAGTTATTTGTTTAAATCATCAATAAAAAGTACAAAATAAGATTTTCTTGGAATGTGTACATTCCGAACTCCCGTGCAGTGATATGTGTCTATACCGAGACACTGCATGGGAGTTCGTGTACATTCTCCAATCTTGAAAACCCAAACCTAATGCTTATGTATAAAATATGGGAAGTTGCCTACCCTTCTAATTGAAAGCCCATGATCAAACTTAATAAATATAATGGCCATTGTGCCACCTCTTTTGACATTTTCGGCTTTTACTGTTAATGTAGTTGTCATGACTATCGAATTAATAGCTACCTTTTTAATCCAAGGGATGGGATACATACACAGGCTATGCTAATGAAATCCAACAGCTCAAAGGAAAAAAATGAATAATATATGAGGTGACTTAGTTCACTTAGTTCACTTTTCATATCCAGGTCAAACAATTCTCCTACCTAGTGATCCTCCCTCAATGTACATATATGCGTGTGTGTATATGATATACGACCATATTTAGCCCCAATGGAGACTCAAAAGTACAGAATTCAAAGTAAATTTAAGAATCAATCCAGTTTATAACTTTAGTCTCCAGATCATATAGCATTATTCTGTCGATAAACAACCAATCAATCATACATTATGCAACAGTATCCTATTGCAAAACGACAACTTGACAGAGGAATGCGGATTTATGATTGCGATTGACGGCTACCCTTTGCGCAGAGTCTATAAACTACCGAAGCTCATTTTTAAGAAGTGACGACGAACGAATGCAAAGGGTAATTGATGGCGAAATAGCAATATGTAAATAAATGAAATGTGTTTTATGCTGTTCAAAATGTTTCCCTTTGAATACATATTAGTCATTAGGATCCAAATTGTTTTCAACATATATTTACAAAACCTGTCAGTTTCAAATAAACCTAACTTTAAATGAAAATTATTTTAAGGTTGTTGTTTTTTCTTAAAGAATAACATCTTGAAATAGACGTAAACACCAAAAGATCTGAGTACATATCGATAGTTCGTAAATACATCACTTATCAATACTTACCCAATTGTAGAGAATCTCATACTAAAATTGTCTTTACATGTATGTTACCTTTGATCCTATTTGAGAAAACATGTTTCATTCTGGAATTTAGGAATATTACAACTCGTGAATAGAGGCACTCCGGATTCTGCATATTTTGTCGTTGATTGCCATGGTTCATTTTTAATACGACTGACACAATATCTTTTATTATGTAGCTTCACGATGCGCTTTCAAATTAGAACAAATTCCAAATTGATTATCCTATTTTCATGATGCATGGTATACAATATTATCAAATTTATAACATACTTTTATGTTCATCCATCCATTCAACAATGATCATTGATGCTACATCGGTGATTTGTCACTCAATTCGGCAAGTTTGACAAATCTGTGTTCAACGTTATCAATGAGCGCTGTTGGGAGAATAGGAAATAGAAATACGTGAACACAGACACGGAGACAGAGAAGGGCAATGATCTCAAGAAATGAATTGTTCCATTTCTTGGATCGCATCAATCTAAAACCAATCTCATCTCTAACGAGAACCTCCAAAAAATTTTAATCTGTTGTTAGGTTCCTTATTATCTGTTTTCTAGATTGAAAGAGGGTAATACAACTCACAGACCGTAACACATATTTCGAGAGCCGAATCGTGCCTGATTTGATTTTGCACAAATGTAGCTAGTTCTACTACAAATGATAATATCCCTCATCCTTAGTTCCCTTATATCCCATTTGTAATAGATATATAATGACTCAGTCTCAATCATTGTTAGAAAATACTTTCACATTACGTTAAATAGCTATTACCGTTTTTGCATTATTTCCTATACTAAGCCGGATTGAAAAGCGCTGAAAGATGAACTAGTATTTAAGGACAACTGTCACTATAAAATTGGAAAGTCCGTGGGTTTCTAAGCTAGACGATTTACGTAATTACTTCATAAAAGATATGGAAATTGCCTTTTTATAAATTAATGATTCAATTTATAAGTCAATTAAACAACGTCTGTTTGTAGAATCTAATCATGATTAGATAATTCCCAGGTGTTACATTATTTGAATATCTATAGTTTTATGAAATGAAGAAATATTAAAATATGTTACTCACCATTTAGTATCCTTTAACAATACATCTAAATGTTATCGTCCCTGCAAGGTACAGGCTAGAAGATAATTCAACCTTGATTTGAGCAGTAGTCGCTTGTATTTGTTCCAGGGAGTCACTTAGTCACTGTCTTTTTTCCCAGTCAATTTTTCTCTTTTAGGTACGCCATTGTCACATTTTGTATCATTTATCGATAAGCTCTTCCACACTAATGATCCGTCTGTAGGATTGCGCTTACTATCTGAGCCAAATAATCGTCCTCGAGATGTCACCATAACCGTATTTGTTCTAATCGTTCCGTTGCAAACTGTAACAGAAGTCTTTTGGTTTTTTGTGTATCTTTACAATTCAAAGTATTATTGCTTATCTATGAAATGTTTTTCTCAGTATTTACATCTTCATCTCTTTTACTATCATCAGAGAATGACTACTATGCCATTTATTTAACGGGTATATTCGTTCCCACAGCTGTTCTAAATAGACTGCATTCACACAATGAATCTGCTATCAACCTATGGATTTCTAAATCTATTTCAAATCATAATAAAAGCCCCGAGTTTTATTTGACAAAGAAAGAGGTAATTAGAATTTATCATAGATACTATCATACTTTAATCAATAATGTCAATTATCCTTTTCAAAAGCGCATAAGCTTTCGATGAAACACTAGAATTTAGTCAAGAAGGATCGCTTTAGATCTCTCTGGTATCATGCATACCATTTTACCATGTTCTGTTTCGTAAGTGTTCTAATCCCACAGCCTTGAACATGCAATGTGTTGGTTAAACGCTTGAAACTATGTTTAGAATTTATTGGCGAGAATTGTATTTCAAATAACAATATTCAAGAATATATTTTTGTGTGTTAAGTAAAAAGATCTTTTATATACGTATATTGTCGCATCAATTTTTTATTGGATTCAATTATAGTGATTCCAGCATCGATCGTTATTTTGTTTTCATTAATCACTAAAATAATAACTTCAACTTAAATTTGCAATTACCCACAAACTTAATGCTTTGTTATCTTTAAAGCATCTGTTATGACAGTGTCATTGATTATATTTTCACATTCCCCTTTATGAGGGGGTTCCCATCAATTGTTTTAAAGTGAAATTTACTGATATACTACATTTTATGTTTTTTCAAATCGTTTCTCATGTGGATCATGCCGACTATTGAAGACAAACAAATAAATATCGAGATCCGTTTTGTGTTCAAATAGGAACTGGTTCGCAATGCGCATGTTAGATGACAGAATATCCTGCAATCAAAAATGCTCAAACGCAATTGTCATTTTCAAAGGGTAACGACATATGTTTATCTGACATGGTCCTTTTAATCAAGAGAAGTATTACTAGATTCAACACATCGCCGAAAAATAGCAGTTCTAAAGAGGATGGAGGGGGTTGCGATACAGCGAAATCTCCCTAAACTTTAGAAGGCATTAACATGACAGAATGCCAACACCTTTCGAAGGTCACTAAAGGTCAAACAAAGGTGAAATCTCTAGACTATGGTCAGATTTGAACTTCCGAGAACTTGTAGTTGATTCTGAAGAAAAATCTGGTCAATTTGAAACAAGTTCGAAAAATATCTGTTTTACCTTTTTTACCTTGAGAAGTCATTGAAGGTCAAATCTAATATCTAAAGTCAGATTTGAACTTCTGAGAATGTTACATGATTTTGAAAAAATGGCCAATTTAAAGCAAGTTCGAAAAGTACCTTTTAAACCTTTTTTTGACCTTGAGAATGTCACTGAAGATCAAATCTCAAATCTAAAGTCAGATTTTAACTTCTAAGTATTTATAGATGATTTGGAAAAAAGTTGCCACAAGTTGAAGCAAGTTCGATAAATACCTTCTTGACCCTTTTGACCTTGAGAAGGTCAAATTTCAAATCTAAAGTCAGATTTGAACTTCCGAGAACCTACAGATGGTTTTGAAAGAAAATTGAAGCAAATTCGAAAAATACCTTTTTTACCTTTTTGACCTTGGGAAAGTCAAATCTAACGTCAGATTTTGACTTGTAAGATGATTTTGGAAAAATTAAAGCCTGTCGACGTTTTAAAATTTCGTTACAAAAAAATTGCTACATACGCTGTCCACAAAAATTGGAGACCATAACAATTTGTCACCTCGGTGACATTACAAGATTTCGGTATGTGACTCTTTAAACTCCATCGATATTTATATATTTCTGGTGTCAGTCGATAACTGTCGGATATTCTTTAAGGAAATTGTTAAAATAAAGTCAAAAACTTGGTACCTATCAAATCAGTAACTATATTATTCCATTACCGACTAAAGATCACTATATAGAATAGATGACTAAAGATACACCTCTCTCTTTACGGGAACGAAATGGCATATAAATGCAATTGTTTCAAGTTGAATATTGTCTAGTGATAATACGGCTCTGTTACTTGTTTCAGGTTCGCCGAGGATACATCTATCAGTATTCGATGTAGAATATATGAGTTACATCCCTACAACACATCAACAACATTATACAACACATGGTAATATACTCTTTTATGATTACGAGATGACTGTTTAAGTGTTAACATGCTTATAAGTACCCATTTCTGAAATGATTAGTTGTCCGGGACATAATGTCCTGTCAAAGGTTAGGCAATCAGAGCTCATGGAATAGATAAGGTCCGTTAAATAGACGATTATAGCAGCGACTATGACAAGAGCGTCCTCATAGATTCTCTCAATAACGCTGTCTAACAATAAACGCTGAATAAGCGCAATGGAGACGACATTGAACGTCGACGAGCTAACGACAGAACCCTGATGCCATCGATCATTACACCACATAAGGGTTCTGTTACAAGCCTATGCAATTATCCACTATTTTCAATGTAAATAAATCAATTGGTAAATCAATTAAAACAATACATTTATCATAGGTTGTCATCAATATCTTTATAACTACTAAACTTTAAGGGTAAACGGTTGTAACCATCCCGTTAAAAAGTGATTTATGACCATTTGAATGCTCTAAATGTTTGAACTCTGGTTTCGTTGAGAAGCAGTATCAAACATTTCAGTGGTTAAGCACTTTACATACGCTAATGCAATCATCATTTCCCAAGCAATAAAAGGGATAAAGATATTTCTGCAAGTATCAAGCGAACATATGCATCTAAAGAGCCTTAAGTAGTTCGACCTCTTGCTTGACTTCAAAATTAGATATGATCTGCATTGGCGAATGATTATTAAAGGTGAGGTCTGCTGTTTTCTTTTTTTGAACTCGTCGGTTTGATTCATAATGTTCAATGAACAGTCAGAACATTTTCATAAAAATATTTTAGTTTCCCCAGGTGAATATCGTTGCTTGGTAAATGGAATTAAGCCATTTTGTCATCCTTGTGCAAGCCCAATTATCACCTCCCCAGAGTCCTGTTTTCAGGACCACCTATTAGTATAAGTTTAGAAAGCTTATATTCTACAATTTTGACTTGAGCAATAGGTGGAGATAAAGCGCCGGTCAATAGTGGTCATTATCCGCCCTGGTCTAGGGCGAATAACGAGTTTGTACTTAGTTTTCAATAGATGGTGATAATACTAATTAATAACCTTATTTCGGCGTTCAACATTGTGAAATCGTGGCTATAACTATTTGGTTTGATTATGTTGCCGGCTGATCAAACCAAAGCAGTGTATATCTCAATATACAGTACCAATAACCTTATTTCAGCTGAAATAAGGTTATTGGTATATTGAGATATACAGTGTAGGTTCAGGGAATGGTTTAACCATGACTTACTTAACATAAATGAAACGAAAAGCTCATTCACAGAATATGTGCGACATAGTCTTTATCTTAATGCGGGGCCCTTAATGAAAATACAAACATACAAACCCCGTTCAATCGTCCATGGTTATTCTAAGGAAAACAGAAAGATTGCGTCCCAATGTTCGAAGTATGACAACAGTAAGGAGTGACACCCTTTCGTGACACCCAAACAGACGTGTCCTCAGTCACATTTGATCTACGGTAACCGTACGGCGGTCGTAGCTTCCTAAAGTCGAGAGAAATGTGCAGCATAGAATATAGGGATAAGCAGTACAATGTGGATGTTCTATATCTTGCAGCTACGGCCGCTGCCGTAAATGTGACCGACGTTTAAAGGTCGGCGTATAACGCCAATAATGATTGTCCAGAAAGGACTTATCTTGTTTATAAGAATCCGGTTTTAATCTTGTATTTGAATATTTATATATCCCCATGCGGGATCGTTCAGTGTGACGATTCATCTTCTTAACCGCCAGTTGGAATGGCACCTCTGAAACGGGGGATTAGACTTCATACATAAATATGACGGGGTTGATTAAACACATCACCTGTTAAGCATCAACATTGCTTCCCCAGGGTCGAGGATTTTGTTGTCAAACTCAAAACTGATAATTAATAACTCACTGAATTTACAATTGCAAATAAGCCATAAGCCATCAGCAGATAAACCATCAAGAATCCCCATGCCAAGTAAACCTATACTATTCGGAATAATATAGGTTGATGGATTAGTCCGTAGAGAGAGAGCTGGACAAAAATGGAAATGAATGAAACTAATGTTGTGGAATCACTTTCGATTGAATATATGTGTGTATTTGTATAAAATAGCTTTCCGTATGTAGTCGGAAATTCCATCAGAAAATCGTATTAAGCAATGCCTCGAATTTTCTGGTTCAGAAATGACTCCATGACGTAATTCTGTCATCGGCACGGATAATTGCGCAAATCAATGCGCATTAAATTGTCACAATCATATTATAGTGACATATTTGAGTGACACTGATTACGCCATGCCAGTCTCAACGTATCCGTGCAACGCATATGTGTTTAAAATATTGGGGGAAACTTTCCCACCTACAGTACATCCAATAAAGTTTTGAAGGCTTCATTCACTATTCATACTACACCTAGCTACTTACACCATCTGGTCATGGAATAATGGCAGAAACATCTTAAGCACATTTCCCCAACCAACTTCTAAGGATTTCAACATTCGATAGGACTGTGCGACTAAAGAATCCTCAGACAAATCCCATGCGTCAATTGGTTGACTAGACAGCTATACTGACGACAACTAGTTTAATTTGACCTCAGTAACAGTTTTCCTGAGTGGTTGGTGTGTAATATTCTTCCTTGCGTTTACCTCTTCGTATCTAATCCTAGATTTGATTGACTGCTTTGGTTTGTTTGGCCCTGGGACGTGTTAAGTGAAGTTATTATGCAAAAATATCAATTATCTACTTCATTGCGATGAAGCGACATCAATTGTCGCAGATGCACAGGTGGCGATTTCAGATTCGAAAACTCTTGAACTAATGAAGAACGAGACTTGGGTTTTTAATTTTCAGAGTTTATGCTATTTACTTGATTAATATTGAGTTGCAAGGACGTCGTTGCGTTCGACAAAGAGCCGAAGCGTCTTTAGCATACAATACGTTTTAACTCAAATGCACACGTGCATACATGTATGTATTTTAATCCAACTATTTCTTGTCTTGTTATCAAGGTTTTTCAAGTCCTTCAAGATTTTGAGAATTACCAGATAATATGGCTCATACGTTATTAATGAGGGGGAAAGAAGTATAAAATATTTTTGGGACTAGAAATAAAGGGTCTCTTTTGAAAATTTAGGAAC